TGCAGTCATGATGAGAAAATCAGGAGAATAACAGATATAGTGACCCTGATTTTGTTAAGACAACTGAAATAAGGCCAGAAACTTAATACCCACTGAAACTTATGATATGCAAAAAAGAAAGTTCCATTTATGGTTAATTCACTTTAGTCAAACTTTTTGTCATTGGCTGTGAAAAACAAATCCTAATTAATCAAACTAAGCTTAGGGAGAGGAAAATTGGTTCTCTGTTTTACTAAGATACACTTTTAAACTAACCCAAAGCCAGATTTATCTATAAAACTACTGCTGTGAGTACACAGTAACTGACCAATATAGATAAGAGAAGTTTTAATTTTTGTTTACCTATTTCCCCAAATGTATCCAGGGAGTAAATGCATCTCCTGAAACAAAAATAAAATAAGAATTTTTAAAAATGCTCATGGCATTTAACAGCAGGAGAACAGAATTTAAAGGCATTCCTATATTTGCTATCCAGAGAAATACCATTCCACTCAGCAAATACAATAAGTATCCAAGAGACACACACCCATGCCTCTGCATATCCATCCATTTATAGCCATTACTTACCCTTTTGTAATATATGGAGGATATACCATATGCTGAACTATGTGTTCCATGCCAGGGATATATTTAAAAAAAAAAAGAAAAAGCATATATTGCTGAGTCCTTGCCTCTGAGATTTTCACTCCAGGCTGAATGTAGGAAGGAAGGAGAGGCCATTTGGAAAAACAAATGTTCTTCATACAGTTTGAGAGTAAAAAGCATAGGTTACTAAAGTGAGATTCATAGTAGAGAGCGAAATGGAACAGGTGTTCCTCAAGGCCCCACAGTCAACAAATGCTGCAAGTTACTTTATTTGATGTCTTCTTGTCTAGTCATTTTATTTACCAACCATTAACTGAAATAAGTGAACTGATATCTATTCTGAGACTCTTTTTGCATTATGAAAATGCTATTCTTTTTTTCTTTTTTTTTTTTTTTAGAGGTTGGGAAGAATGGAGAGAGTATCCTGGAAATATATACAATACCATATGTAAAATAGGTAGCCAATGGGAATTTGTTGTATGACTCAGGGAACACAAACTAGGGCTCTGTAAAGACCCAGAGGGGTTTAAAGGGCTGAGAGATGGGAGGAAGGTTCAAGGGGGAGGGGGCATATGTATACCTATGGCTGATTCATACTGATGTATGGCAGAAACCAACACAATATTGTAAAGCAATTATCCTCCAATTAAAAATAAATTAGTTTAAAAAGTAAGCTGTTATGGTAGTAAAAAACAATGCTATCTTTTTGACTGTTGCTGTACAGAATTTGACTTGTATGTAGAAACTTCCTCTGATCTGCCAATATTGTGCCTGCTATGAGATTTATTTCCCCCGGGACTCTTCTTTCTTCTGACTTGTTATATGTTGGACTGGATGCTGGGCTAACACACGTGGGTCAATTATGCTGCCTATCCCTGGAGCCTGGATTCTTGTTCATACCCTCCTTGTTTATCCCCCTTTGCCACCAGCGAGGCAGGAGGGTGGAGGAGGAGGGTCTGACCTCCACTTCACTGCTCCCGACTAAGCCAGCCATTGCAGAATGAAGCAGAGCAGTCAGGAAATGAGAGGAGGAAACGCACTGGACCTCAGAGCACTTGTAGCTGGAAAGAGACTGAGATCTTTTCTCTTTTTGTGAAAAGGGATCTTCTCGATTGACCTAAGGAAAAATCACTTGTTAAACATCTGTCTTTCCCCTCCTGCTGCTGTTGTATATGGAGGAACAGACTTCCCTTAACTCTGAAGTAATGTCTCCTTTCTTTAGGAAAGCAGGTGTCCAAACATGCAGCAAGCCACATTTTTAAACAGCTGAAATAAAGTTGAGGACTTTACACATTTCTTTATCATTTTACCTAGAAATTCTCTCATGAAACAGTTTCCTAACTTGGAACTTCATTTTTCCTTGTGACATTTAGGCCAATCTTTTAAAATTTTTACTATCACATCCCTGTCTTCTAGATTACTGTTCTTTGGATGGAAAATCTATTTTTTAAAAAATATAATATTCAACTATTGATTTTTTTTCATGTAACTGAAATGTGCATTATAAACATGAAGACCTTAGAACTACATTGAATTCTGTAATATTAAATATCTTTATAGGAAGAAGAAAAGAAAAATTGAGATAAAACTGATCAATATTGTGGGGACTTTGAAATATTCTTTATCACGGCATGTCTAAATATGTGGAAGGAGGAATTATAATCTCTTTTATGGATGAGAAAATCAAGATGAATGAAGTTCACAATTCTAAGATAACACATTTATAAGATAGTAAAATTAGGATTCAAATCCAATTTTTTAATCTAACTTCAAAAATCATGCACTTTGTAGCTCATAAAGTAATATAGAGTTCCTCCCAGTCTACATATAGCGCTTTGTCGAGTTGTTAAGTCGGAATCAATTTATGAGTCTCCAGGTGGCGCTAATGGTAGAAAACCCACCTGCCAAAGCAAGAGATATAAGAGAAGCAGGACTGACCCCAGAGTGGGGAAGATCCCCAGGAGGAGGGCGTGGCAACCCACTCCAGTATTCTTGCCTGTAAAATCCCATGGACAAAAGAGCTCTGCATGTGGGCTACAATCCATAGATTTGCAAACAGTCAGACACGGCTGAAGTAACACACACACACATACACACACACACACACCTCATAGGACTTTTTTAAAAAAATATAATTGCTTTACAATGTTGTGTTAATTTCTGCTGTACAACAAAGTGAATCAGCTATTTGTTGCTGTTGTTTAGTCAACAAGTTGTGTCCAACTCTTTGAGACCCCATGGACTGGAAGCATGCCAGGCTTTCCTATCCTTCACTGTCTCCCACAGTTTGCTCAGACTTATGTCCATTGAGTTGGTGATGCCATCCAACCATCTCATCCTCTGTCATCCCTTTCTCCTCCTGCCCTCAATCTTTCCTAGTATCAGGATCTTTTCCAACGAGTTGGCTCTTACATCAGGTAGCCAAAGTATTGTAAATTCAGCATCTTTCTTTCTAATGAATATTCAGAGTTGATTTTCTTTAGGATTGACTGATTTGATCTTCTTCACATCCAAGGGACTCTCAAAAGTCTTCTCCAACACCACAATTTGAAAACATAAATTCTTCATCACTAAGCCTTCATTATTGTCCAAGTCTCACATCCATACATGACTACTGGAAAAACAATAGCTTTGATGACACAGACCTTTGTTGGAAAAGTGACGTATGTGCTTTTTAATATGCTGCCTAGGGTTGTCATAGCTTTTCTTCTATGGAGCAAGCATCTTTTAATTTTGTGACTTCAGTCACTGTCTGAAATGATTTTGTGGCCCAAGAAAGCAAAATCTGTCACTGTTTCCACTTTTTCCCTTTCTATTTGCCTTGAAGTGATGGGACTGGTTGCTATGATCTTAGGTTTTTGAATGTTGAGTTTTAAGCCAGATTTTCACTCTTCTATTTTACCTTCATCAAGAGGCTTTTTATTTCGTTTTTGCTTTCTGCCATTTGAGTGTATTATCTGCATATCTGAGGTTGTTGACATTTCTCTTGGCAATCTTGATTCCAGCTTGTGATTCATTCAGCCTGGCATTTCACATGATGTACTCTGCATAGAAGTTAAATAAGCCGGGTGATAATACAGAACCTTGGCGTGCCCTTTCCCCAATTTTGAACCAGTACATTGTTCTATGCTTGGTTCTGACTGTTGCTTCTTGACCTGCATGCAGGTTTCTTAGGAGGCCAGGAAGCTGGTCTTATATTCCCATCTCTTTCAGAAGTTTCCAGTTTGTTGTGATCCACACAGTCAAAGGTTTCTGTATAGTCAATCACACAGAAGTAGATGCTTTTTCTGGAATTCCCTTGCTTTCTCTACGGTTAAAAGAACGTTGGCAATTTGATCTCTAGTTCCTCTGCCTTTTCTAAACTCAGGTTGTACGTCTGGAAGTTCTCAGTTCACATACTGATGAAACCTAGACTGGAGGATTTTGAACATTGCATCGCTACTATGTGAAATGAAGACAACTGCACAGTCATTTGAACATTCATTGGCTTTGGCCTTTCTTTGTGATTGGAATGAAAACTGACCTTTTCCAGTTCAGTTATATGTATACATATATCTTGTCCCTCTTGGACCCCCCTCAACCATCTCACCTATCTAGACCATCATATATACACTACCATGTTTGAAACAGATAACTAGCAGGAACCTGCTATACAAGCTCAGTACTCTATAATGAACTCATAGGACTTTGGTAAAGATTCACTGAGTCAATGCATGTAAAAGAGCTCAGAACACAATGACACATGGTCAACATTCAAGTTGCTTGTTAACTGTTAATAATAGCATAGAGTATATGTCACAGCTCTGCTTTCATGTGTTATCCTAGTACAGCTGAATATGTGGTTCTAAATAAACAGTGAGTGGTTTTTATTTTATTTATGTTTTGAGATTCAGTGTTTTTACATCAAAGATCTCTTTCATTCTCCATTGGTTGGTAAATTTATGAGAGAGAAAAGATATCTCTCTTTTTTTTTTCTACAAGAAACTCTTAATTTATTATTGCTTTCTTTTGTATTTTGGCATAAGCAGACTTTTAGTCTCTCTTAATAAGACCATTTACAAACTTTTGTTTCAGCTGTGAAATCTTTTTGTAAAATATAGAGAGAAGCACTGCTGCTTTATCAGAAGTCGGGGTGGGGGGTGGCTCCTGGATCTTTAAGCACCCTCCTGCCTTTCAGTACCCGTAACTGCTCATTATTGTCTTGGGGGTTCTCCCCTAAGGTTGATGTCATGCAGGCTGAGAACCACCGATCCACAAAGCACATGACAAATCTCACTGGGCAGTGACCGACAAATACTATTAATTCATCATTTCTGTGATAGACATGCATCCAGGAATCCTTCCTCCTAATCACAGATTGTCTTCACTGCATTTCCACTCTGTACTCACTGTTGACTGCTCTCTTTAACCGGCAGGGTCTACAGTTTGGTACCAGTGACCTGGAGGAGATGGGAGCCATGTTCTGCTTGGGACTCCTTGTCTTGGAACTCAAATCTGGAAGCTGCAGCCATCAACTCCTGACCCGTGCAGCAGCTCTGCTGAATGCTGAGGAAGAGTCTCTGGACTTCTCCCTGCAGAAGTAAGTTGCTCACAATTTGAACCTTTGTGTTTCCATTGGAGAATATCTCAGAAGTGAAAGTCACATCGACCTGTGGGTGTTTGATAAAGAAAAAAACATGGAAGAACTGCCAAATGAAGGTGGGACAGTAGAATTCTATTGGAGCCAGATCTGGGACATCCTGAGTTCTTGATGAAGATGGGGGGAGGATGCTTACTTGTACATAAATGCACATAGAAACCTACGTATATTTATAAATATGCATTTTTATAAAATTTTTCTTATGGCAAAGAACATGCAGCTTAGCAACACACATACACACTTACTTATGTGTGGTTTGACAGTTATATGTTTATATGTGTACAGATATCATTTTGGAGTCATTAGTCAGCTCAGAAAAGGCAATCTCATCATTCATATCTGCACATTTGGGTGACAAGAAATGATTTAATCTTCCCATTCTTAAATAGCAATGTTCCCGTCTCAGAATATATGATGCTGATGAATACATTGGCCCGAGAACCTGACTCACAGCCATGGCAGGGGGAGGATGGGTCTCTGAGAATTGTGAGGCTTGTTAATGAGTCAGAAGATGGATAACTGTTATCCACATGAGCCTCTTTGATGCCCTGCACTGTAGGCAAATTGTACTTAGAAGGAAGAAAGAGAGATATAATGGACAAGAGAGAGAAAAGAGTATCAACAGACATTAGCGGATGGAAGGAATAAGTCATTGCCCACGTTTTAACCAAGGGAGGGAGAGGGAAATTGAGCCGTTGGGGAAGGAAGTGGCTACCAATAGTTGAGGAAGCATCCTCACATACAAAGGCAGAGAGAAAACTGTTTATATTGAAGTCTCTTATTTCCAGCTCATTTTCATGAATTTTCATCCTGCCACTGTTAGGCAGCCATTCCAGTGTGACTTCTCACCAAATGGCCAGTCAAGCCTAGAAAGATCTAATAGCTTAAATTCATAATGCTTCAGAAGGCACTGGTTTTCTGTGAGATTTAATTACTTAAGTGCAGTAATTAACTTGCTTATCACATGATGCTATAGATCATAGACTCTGGAGACTTAAGTAAGTCCAGACCTCTTCCCTCCCCAGAGACACTGCACTGACTTCGTTTTGACATCACAACCACTTCTGTCTGTCCCTGCTCCTTCCATGCCCTCAGCGCCCAAAGGCTTGGTGTGTTTGGCATTTTGGTGGTATTTTAGCTTCTTTCTCTGATAGCAAGTGCTTCCATCTGCCAGGATGTATATTTCAATGTGTCTTTTCATCTTCGCCTTTGCTGAGCTATCTTGGGTGCAGACATGCCTGCGTTTTCTTTCTTTCTTTCCATCTTTGCTGCTCCCCCCACCACCTCCCGTCTCCTCTGCTGTTCATTGAGGAAAGATTGAGCAGACCTGGCATTGCTTCCTTTCCCTGAATTGATTGTGCCTGTCTGTTTGATCCAATGCAGTGAGGATTAGTTGCCTGTAAACTGGAACAAGAAGAAATCTATCAGAGAAATGCCTTTTCTAATTCAAGTCTAAAGAATTTTGTGTCAGGCTCCACATGCAATGGTTTCTCTATGGGTGATCATAAGAGCATAGTATTACTGTACCTCCATGCCATCCCTTATAACTAACTAGTAATTCCACACAACAAACTAGTGACTTTTCAGTTGCAACCTATCCAAGGATACTGAAGGTTGAAATCTGACCTTTCTTGGGCTGGGGCAACTTCTTACAGGGCACGACTCCTACATATAGGATGTGATTCAGCTATATGTTTTGAAAAGATTTCAATTAAATTTGAGAGGCATGGAATCTGGTGGAGAGCAACAGGATGAAAGCTGCCTATTTCATCCAAACATTTATATGATATGTCTACTCATGGAGATGGTTGATCAAAGCAAATCATGGTTCCTACCCAGAGGACCTGAAAACTACTTGGTTGAGAGGGAAATCACCATGAAAATGTCTTGACCCAGAAAATATTCCTTCCAGTAAGTGTGTATTCATTAAGAGATGGCAGAGGAGATGTAATAAAAATGATACTTGTTGGTCTGAAACCAGCAGCAAGCTGTTTGAGTACCTTTGATTTGTTTCTAATGAGTAGAACTAAATCATGACATATAGTAATCAGCAGAGTGAATCCTAGGAATTGTGTTAACAACAGGGCTCTTACTATCATACAAAAGGGTATAACTGTTTGTTAGATATGCTTTAAGCAGGAGACTTCTGCAGCCCTCTTCCCAGCCCTTGGCCCATTCCTGCCTTTTTTCCTTGGGTGTGTTACCTTTACTTGATATAATTGGATTATATATTTCAGAAAGGTTCTTCTTTTCTTGCACAGAAATGCTAGAAATGTTAGAAAAAAAAAGGCAATCTTCGACCTGAAAGGTTGCCTTAAAAATATGTGAGCACATGTTATTTTGAGGGTCCTTTAGACAAGGCCCAGGAGTGATCTGCTGGGAAGATAAAACCTGGCTGTATGCTGGTGGGCATCGTGTTTTTTGACAATAGGTTTCATGCCTCATTTACCACAGAAATAATTAGAATGTAGTCAACAGCCACAGAGCAACTCACCATTTTTCATGAGCGGATAAAGGGCAGAATGGTGGATGTTTGCCCAGTGACTGAAGCCGAAAATGAAGTACATGCACGCTTTGTTTTTGGTTTTTCTTCTTTAGCTCTCTTCCCAGTTGTTCATTCAAGAGATGTCTGCAGACTCGTTAAGGCATCTTGGAACTTCTTGCCTTTCTTCATTCTGTCTCTTTCCTCTCAGCCTCATCCCTGGAAATTATCGTGTGTGCACTGCAGGAATGCTAAGCTGTTTCTTCCAGAGGTACCGTTTATCCATTGTGACAGGTCTTTTGCAAAGTCATTTGATAGTTTTGCGGAGTCAGCCACTGTTCATCTAGATTTGTATCTGTCCATTGCCTCTCACTCTTCAGTGCAGCTCCCCTCTCTCCACTCGTCCTTCCATTAATAACAACAGAATGCGCAGTCTCCAAGCCAAACCTTAGCAACAGCTTAATATCTCACTTATTCTCCCAAATTACAGTCCCATTGCATTAACCAGGGCACCCCTTAGCAACCATATAAACTTGTGTAATCTTCTCTTTAGTTTGATGAAACAACACAGAAAAAATAAAAATCTTTCATAGACTTTAAAAAACCTAACTATACTTTTCAATAATTATAGATACTTGATTTAAAACAAATGCAGTTTTGTTTTTCTGAATATTTAAGAAAATATAATTTGGAAATCAAACAACAACAAAAATACAACCCTACTTCTGCCTTCAATCACCCATTATCCAACTACCTCTAGACAATCACTGTCAACATTTTGGTGAAATTTGATGACTTTTTTACATGTGAATAAACTGATTAAAAAACACATTCAACAGCAATGTATAAGACTTCCTTTCCTTGTAACTTTATAAACACTTCTTTAAAAAAAAAAGAAATTACATTTATTTATTTATCTATTTGCCATGCCTTGTAGCATGCAGGGTCTTAGTTCTCTGACCAGGGATTGAACTTGCCCCCTGAATTGGGAATGAGGATTCTTAGCCAATGGACCACCAGAGAAGTCCCTAGATATTACATTTTAGAGAAACTTTAATTCACAACAAGATTGAGAGGAAGGTACAGAGATTTTCCATAGGCACCCTACCCCCACACAGGCATAGCCTTCCCTGTTATCAACATCCCCCACTACAGTGGTAAATGTTTGACAATCAATGAACTAACACTGACACATCATTACTAACCAAAGTCCAGAGTTTACATTAGGGTTCACACATTATGTTATACATCTAATGCATTTGGACAAATGTAAAGTGACCGGTATCCATCATTATATATCACACAGAGTAGTTTCACTGCCCTAAAACATCCTCTGTGTTCCCTCTACTCATCGCTTCGTTTTCATCAACTGCTGACCTTTTGATTGTCTCCATAGTTTTGCTTTTTAAAAAATATTCTATAGTTGGAATCATACAGAGTTTAGCCTTTGCGGATTGTCTGTTTATCTCTTAGAAATACATATATTTAAGTTTCTTCCATATCTTTTCATAGCTTTATACCTCCTTTCTTTTTTAGCACATAATAGCCCTCCATTGTCTGGATGTATAATATTAACAATTTATTATCCACCCACCTACTGAAGGACATCTTGGTTTCCTCCGGGCGATTATGAATAAAACTGCTGTAAACATCTGTGTGCAGGTTTTTGTGTGGAAATGTGTTCAACTACTTTGAGTAAATACCAAAAGTGTGATTGCTGGATTTACAGTAAGAGTATGTTTAGTTTTGTAAGAAACTGCCAAAGATCTTGCAAAGTGGCTGCATTACCTTACATTCCCACAGGCCGTGAAAGAGAGTTCTCATTGCTCTGCATCTTGTCAGTACCTGGTATCGTCACTGTTCTATATTTTGGCCATTCTAATAGGAGGTAGTGGTATCTCATTTTTCTTTTAATTTGCATTTCCTAGTTGACATAGAGAGTGGAGCATTTTTTCATATGCTTTATTTTCCATCTGTATATTTTATTTAGTGAAGTGTCTTTCAAGGTTGTTGACCCATTTTTAATCACATTGTTTTCTTATTTTGAATTTGAAGAATTCTTTGTGTATTTTGGATAACAGTCTTTTACCAGTTGTATTTTTTCAAATATTTTCTCCCAGTCTGTATCTTGTCTTTTCATGCTCTTCACATCATCTATCACAGAGCAGAAATCTTTAATTTTAATGAAGCCCTCCTTAACAATTCTTTATTTCAGGGATTATGCCTCTGGTGTTGTGTCTAAAAAATAATTGCCAAAACCTAGGTCATCGAGCGACTGAACTGAACTGAACTGAACTGAGGTCATCTGTTTTCTCCTACCTCATCTTCTAAATACAGTGATTGTTTTTGCATTAAAATCTTTATAATTTATAGGTGAAAATTGGGTGCTATTTTAATCTATAATTTGATCTTTTCTGATATGAATTACATGCTTCTATTTTATTACTATTCTTTTTTA